AAAAAAACAGCCCCATGGTTGGGCCACGGCTGAGATGTCTCAGCCACACCCCAGACTGGCCACGACCAAGATGTCCCAGCCACACCCCGGACTGGCCACGGCCGAGATGTCTCGGCCACACCCCAGATTGGGCACGACCATGGGGCTCCGGGTCGAGCTGGTCGGCGAAATCGGCCAGCGAAAAAGGAACGACCGCGAGTAGTGTCGCGGGAGTGGGTGGTGGCGGCGGATCGCAAAGAGGACGGGGCGTCGGGGAAGCGACTTCGCATCCTCTGGTATTATCTAGCAGCCTCGTAGGCCTGCTCCACGGAAGAGAATGACTGTCTCCATAACTCCAAGCGTTAGTCAGTCGGAAGACTGGCGAGGAACCGGTCAATAAGGGTGACCTCGGGTAGGAACGTCTCATCACAAACAAGGGGGGCGTCCTGAAACACCCGGATGTGACGCTCGAGATCAGCCGGTGTAGAGGACCCGGATCATCTGGTTTGTGTGATGCGGTCTAAAGCGTCGGTGGCATCGTGATGAGCGYCAAAGCGGTCCTAAAGGAAGGCCGCAAAGTCTGCAAGAGTAGGGACCTCATCCACATGGAGGCGCTGGGTACAATAGTCCTCTCACGCAGTGGAAGGGTTGCCTCGCAATTCAGTTGCAAGCACATCGCACCACAACTTTTAACGGGTGGTCGTAAGGGAGAATGTGCGTGTTGCTATCTGCAACCAGCGAGAGACGCGAGATGTGCCATCATACTTGGGAATGTTTGAGGTGCACACAGAAGGGTGTCCGTTGTGCWRATGGCAGGGGGAAGGAGACCGAGGCCCCTGCAAGGTCGCGGCAAAAATCGGGGCCACTACAGGGGCAGAGGTGGGGGAAGGYTGTGGACTGTGGACACTGGCAGATTGACCAGTCGATGTGGAGGCAACAGCCGCGGGCAGCTGTCCCAGAATAGYCAGGTAGGAGGGRAGAGGCTGAGGAGCAGGTCGAGGGAAACGAGTCTGCATCATGGGGGTCGAAGGGGTGGTAAAGGAAGAAGAAGGGTGAGCARCATGTGATGGGTGACGCTGTCTCAGAGCAAGGATCTTCACCTGAGCCTGCACAATAGTGGCCTATATAGTGACCACTCGCTGGGTGCGTGGGGTCCGAGTCGGGGGTGGAGGAGGCGAGGGGAATATCTCACCGGGAGGAGGAATCTCAAACTGCGGAGACCATTCTGGATTTTCAGACTGCCCAAAACTCTCACTTCGAAATTTTCATTCCTGAATTTTCAGCTACCTGTTAACAGCTTGAGAAACTGTGGGGTACCCTGCTGTAGGGGTAAGGGGACGAAGGCGGGGACTCGGAGTAGTGGACGAAACCGTAATGCCGCGACCGGTATAGGGAGCTGGGAAGCAACACCGGAACGGGTTGGTAAAATTGYCGATCTAGATGATGGTCTCTGGACCGCAGGGCCTACAACAGCGGCAGAGACGGTAGGGGCGACAGGGGTCAGGAGAACTGCCGCAACAGACCGGGTGGTCTGACCGGCAGCAACACTCATCACAACTGGRGGAGAGTGTTGGGCCTGAGCCGCAAGGGAGGGAAAACCACCAAGTCTGTTTCGTYGGAGTCGTGGGGAACCGCCTGGTGAGCCGGTAGGGGATGGGGTGTGAGAATGGGGGGGGGAGCGATGAGGAGAACCTTTGAGGCTGTTGACTTCAAGGGCAAGCGCATTGATTTGTGCTTGCAACGGTCCAAGCRTACTAAGTTACGCTTGGATCGCTACAAAGACGGCATGAAGGTACATGATGTTCACATGGGCCTGACCATGAGCTGTTGGCTGCGCGCTGACTTGGGATGYGGACTGCACCGCGGTSATCTCCTCAGTTGTAGCCCCRTCCGTGGACGGTGGAGGGAGAGAGGTAGACATGGTGGGAGGTCGAGGGAGAGATGGGTTGTGGCATCAGGACAGGGRACCACCGGTGAGGGGGAGGGGACCTCGAGAGCGGAGTGGGTAGTCGTGGGTCGGCTCGGCCCGTGACCAGCGGGTCGTGCRTGAGATGGTGGCGCGAATCTGGTCGAGGGGAGAGGAGCCGTTCGGRTCCACGGTGCCCGATGGGAGGAGGYGCGAGAGTAGGGGGGGTAGGAGAACCCTAAACCCTAAGAAAACCCTAACCGGGGTTTGGGTGGTTAGGGTAGGGTAGTCGCGACCTAATCAAGAAAGAAAAATAGTAACCATGGAGGGGAGGGGGAGAGAAAATAAAATAAACAGTGAAATTTYGAGATAAAAATAAAARAAAATAAATAATAAAGATAATTAAAGAAACAAATAAACAAATGTGAAGAGAGAAGTAATATTTACTAGCTTAGCGCCCGCGGTGCGGGCGGTGCGGGCAATGCCCGCACGTAAAAGAGCAGAGAGGCTAGTCAATCATGAACATTGTGTCAAGATTTTGACCCACCACCCACCTTCGTCGGGAAGGCCCTCAGGTCACGGGTGCTTTGAGGAATGTATCTGGCCAGGAAGTGAGGAACATGAAACAGGTCGATTTCCTTTTTTGTTTCTTGTTGTGAGGTCCCTGTAGCGCCCTGCCAGCCAGGCAGGGCGGATTCCACGCTTCATTGAGTTCTAGACAAGTATTGTAGCATCCTGTATCGGACCGCAATTACAGCATAAGGGATTTTTTTTTAATTATTTTTTTATATGTTGTTCGTGGATAGACGAGGGCCCTGACTGAACTGCATAGGGCCGAGTTTCAATTGCAATTGAAA